ACGCTCTGTTGACAATGTCGCAGAGTCCATTAACGAACTCTGTCCAAACGTTGTCAAGGGGACTGTTGTTTGAGGATTCCCAAGCAGCTGTGTCGACGAATTCTTTCATTACGTGATAGCTTGTGGTTATATGAGTTCCGAGTGTTCAGATGGGTACTCTGCATAACACACATAGCTGAACGTTATTACTACATGGTCACTGAGACCTAATGGACTATCCATCAATAAGTTGTCAAACATGAGCTCTTCATTCGTGAGCACAAGGTCCAATATGGACGGTTTGTTTGCTGTGCTGAATCTAGTGGGCGTGGTGACATGATTGTACAAGGGAATATTAGCGATCAGTTCATGAAAGTCTGCTTTGAACTGCTCACTGGGCGATGCCGAAACCTCCAGATCGTGTAGATTGCAATCTTTGGAGATGAGAATGTGGCTGTACCTAGTGCGTGTTATTCTGTTCAGAACATGTAGCAAGCTTGAATACATTTCCGGAGTGAATGTTGGGGGGGGCGGTAAACGACAGCTACGAGACATGGGTCGTTGTGTCTTACTTGGAGACGACAACAGAATGAGTCGGTGACGTGAGTTTCCAGATCATCAACTATTGCACATTGCAGGTCGCTGCGGTAGTAGATTAGGACCCCACCTCCTCTGCTGGGGCGGTCGTTCCGGATGAGTGGCATTCCGGCTATCTCAACCTCAGCATCAATCACCTCTTGGTGTAACCAAGTTTCGGTAATAGAAATTAGGTCCCAAGCATTCGCAACCTGACGTAGTCGAAGTTCGGTAAGTTTACGGAGGAGCCCTTGGGGTTTAGTGTACATACATGAAAGTTTCTCAGATTTAAGCAATGTTTCGGAGGTTGTACAAGTCATACATGAAGTTCCGCCGACCAGTGTGTGGCCAGTGACTAATCATTTTTTCGATGTGTACTTGGTAAAGGGTTTAACGTCTTATTCATCGCCCGTGTAGTTAGTCCCGTGTCTAATCTTCTACGTACAGTGTAATGTGTCTGGTCAATATTATCTTCTACAGGTTGTATGTGCGCATTCGATACACTTCTGGTGCATTGTTCTTCTATAGATCCCATCGCGTTTTGTCCTTTAAGTGACATATCATCTGTAGGAGGCATATCGCTGACTGTCTTCAGCAGAAGTTCAGATGGTATCCAGCAACGGAAGGTGTACCAGCTTGCTAGTAGCTGTGATACCATATGTTTTGATTGAAGGACCCCCTTCAACACTCTCGGGCCACTTCCTTTGTACTTCGGTGAGGTATGCAGCCTTGACACGGATTTCGCTAACACATCATCCAAGCAGAGTGTTTCACGAATATAACATCACTGTTCTTTATCACGGGTTGTTATTTCATGCTCATCACATGCTTCAGTTTCAGGAACCCCGTGAAGAAGTATGGTTCTGGTTGAAGTTTCCTTCCAGTAATCCTCTAAGTTGCGGTTAACTGGATAACGCTCGCCCCATGGGATGTCTGGAAAGATACGGATGGAGCAGTGTTCATTTCTTAGACTACCTGTCGACAGTAGTACTGATTCTACTTCAGTGATGGAGTTCAGCACAACGCGCAGAAGTCTTAGCTCTCCGAAGTTCTTAGAGTTAGGGTGTCGCGCAATGCGGACTTCGTGTACAGCTTTCAGTACAACTCCCATTAGATTACTAATAATATCCCACTGGTTGAGGTCATCCAACTGCCTGCCTCTTTTTGCTGTCGACTTTGATTCTGGGATATTGGAGCACAGAACGCTCAGTACAGGTAGTTTTTGCTTAACACCTTTCGACCTGTCACGGTTAGCGATTTGAATACTTGGAGCTGTACCGCTGGAAACCGGTGGTGCTTGCATTAGGAAAACACCGCTACGCTCCTCAGTATCCGATCCATCTGAGGATGTTAATTTAAATGGCGACTCTTCTTGGAAGCAACCGTAACAGGACTTTCGCTAGTACCGGCTTTCTCTTTTTCTACGCACACAGTCGGGAGTTTGGAAGTAGCCTTACGTGTAGGTACTCCGATGGAACTGGGAATGATATTAGTCAACTGTGAGCCACGTGTGTTATTGGGACAGCTGTTGATGTTCTGCACTCTAGGTGTCGTGTTACTTACGATGTTACTAGCAATTCTTCTCGGTAAAGGAGCAGCACTTATGGGAGAGGATTGCGTTGCACAGTCCGCTATGCTTACCCCAACCGTAGTGATTTTGGTGGTCACCATTTCCTCAAACTTGGCTAGTAGCTGGTCGTACTTCTGAGATAATAGGAGCACGCTTTTTATCAGTGAGATAGATGTGCATTCCACGCTGAACCATAGAGAGTCTGGTTTGTTTAATAACTTGGCCTGAGTAGGTTTAACTCGGAGGTATCTCACATGGAAATCTTGCAAAAGTTACGGCACAAAAATGTCCCCCTTAACAAGTTTGGAACATGATCCAAATAGGTCTTTAGACTGTGGCACACTGGGCATCGCGCTTGTTGAGGAAATGGCACGAACTATTTGTATGGCTCACCTTCTATGGTAAAAACTTGTTCTGTTATTGACGTTGTCGGCGAGGTCACAGTGTTCACGTTGCAGTTGTGTGCTCGCAGACTGTCCTCTCTGGCGTGTCAGTCGAATGTGTCAGCTTGAACGTGAGGCAGATTACCCGAGAGCCTGATTGAGAATTTTCGTGCTTAAGGCTATGGATCGCGCCGGGTGAATTTGCCTTGAGACCTGTGGCTGCTCCAAGCAATGTTGGATTTGAACCAGTGACAGTTCGTTCGAAAGCCGTTGAAATGGTCTATCGAGTGAGATCAAACAATGTCTCCGAAGGTTGAAGTTAGGCAAATATTGGCGCTTGGATGTCAGCGAAACACTGCCCGAAATTTAGAATTCAGAGAAATGTAGAATGTGCTGGAGTGTACTCGAGAAAATAGTATCACAAGGTGGAGCTTTTAAAAGCACGACGAATGAGTATAGATCCAAAGGTGTGCGACAAAATGCCGCTGAGCCACAGCGAAAAAACCACGAGTGCACAATTGAGCGCTTTGCACGCACGTTCGCTCAAGGTCACGGCGTTTTTGCAACAGCATGGCCCTTCACTGGGTCTTCATAGGCCTGAAGAATGCTACATCTAGAGGCAGATAGAGATGGGTTGAGTTGGATGGGAGGCAACAAACAGCCATGTTGTTTTCATTGCAGAGTCTGACAATGTCAAGAGAGAACTGTGAACTGATATTGTGACCCAAAAGGACATAACGGCCGGTTTTTCTGCGACAGGAAGGTAATGCAACTTGCTAAGATCTATCAAAAGCAGACCTTGTCATACAAGACTGACTTTGATCTGTTACTTCGTGTGCGTGGCGGACCATTCTCCACCCAATTGTCCCAAAGCTTTTCGGCTTTGGGGGCTGCAACTCTTCATTAGCGGTGCCAGCAAACATCAGTTGCCTTTGACGAGTTCATACTCCTCTCATGATATTCGGTGCCTACTTCAAAGATTACTTGGCCAACTGGCCAAAGTTACCACAAAATAACAAAGCGTATTGGCGTAACATTGACCACCAAGACCAACAAAATGCATTAGCATGTGCTCGGATAATATCAAATATGTTTATAATTACTATTTCACAAAGCGACAACAGAGCTGGTTATACTTAGTTTCTTAGATGCATGATACACAGACCGTATATTAAACATATGTCATGACACCTGCAATCTATGGCAAAAGGGTACCCAAGACTGGATATTGCAGTTCGCCATAAAATGATTTCCAATTAATGGAAAACAAATTTTCAGCATGAAACCAATTTTATTACACACAAAATAGGAAAAGTAAAAGTAAGTTAAATTTCATAATTCTTTTCATGTTGGCCCAAACTTGCCCCAAGACGCTAAAGTTACCCCATTTTACGGTATGAAGTTCTAGGTCACGCTGGTCTCACCGTTTGGGTTACCTCAGTGGCTGGCTGGTCAGCCAGAACTGTAGTCTTATCAGCCGGTTTAGTAGTGGTGCCTCCTCGGTGCACAAGTGGACAAAAATCACACAAGCAATGTGCAATAAAATGCACCTAAAAGTACTGTGGTAAATGTGAGACGACAAAATTGGATGTAGCTACGGTGAACTGGGGTGCACAGTACTAGGTTATGTATTGTCTGGCAGCCTTAGAGAAGCTCTGTCGAACGGTATCACGAAGGCATTGAAAAACTCAAAAAGACAAGGTTTCACATGTTGGGACTAGAGAATAGACTGCCGAAGTCGTCTTATATGATGTACAAGCCTATCTGGACTTACTTCGAACAGTTAGCACCAGTTGGATAGAGCGTGGTGATCCGAATCGCTTGAGCGTACTTCCGAAGAGGTGGCACAAGAATGTGAGGGGTAGGTCCAATTTCATCCAAAGCACAAGATTGCACGGGTGGGACGCACACGCTGACAAGGTCACAAGGTACCACTTAGTCCCACTCGATGAACTGGTGCACAGTTACTTCGGCTATAGCCCAAGTCTGCTCATGCACTATGTTCGCTCGAATATTTGGTGCAGTCAGCACGTGATACCAGCTGACAGGTATACAGGGTCTCAGTCAGGAACAAATGTACCACCGCACTTTCTCGGGCCACAGTGCTATGAAATTGCAGTTCCTTGACACTTGTTGACCGGTCAGTCGTTTGACAAAGTTGTGCAACGCCCCCAGCGAATTTGCTTAATGCATAACAGGCAGCACACACAACTAATAGAAAATATCAGGAGCTGTTGTTGGCTAGAAATTTATCCCGATGTAGTTGGTTGTAAGCGTGTTGACGAGCGTTCGATTAATGTGTGAATTTTTACACAAATATTTCCACTCTACTTCACATAACTGTTTACATGTGTCGACATATATGTCAGTAAGCCATATCCCTTATGTACAAGATGGCCTGCGCTATAGCCGTATGAGGTATTTCCACTGGAAAAGCACTAGTACTACACACCCCAGCATACCAATTTGACTTTGACGTTGAATTATTTCAGCGATATATGTACTACATAAGCAAAGGTGTCCCTGACGGTATGCTGGCTCCGCCACCCGATCACCTTTGGCTCAAGTTGGAAGAATATACTCCGCAGGTGTTGGTCACCGCTTGGCCCACCTTGGCAGAAGAGTTGCGTGAGGAGATACGTCACGATTACGACCAGGCACTTCGTAAAGCAGTGGGTAAGTAACTGGTAGCGAAAAAATCTCACTATGAAAATCAACACGATTGGTAAATTTGAATTTGTCCACTAGGTCTCTGTAGCTGTCAGTGAGAAGGGATAAACCACCCCAATTATCTGGTTACTTGCCTCACAACTTGAAGACTGGTATTAAACTCCACCTGACATGCTAAATACAGGTCGAAGGTTGTAGCTTATTTTAGAAGTCGAAATAATGTGATGCGTTTGAAACTCCTAACATGCTTCAATGTTTCCCTCTGTCTCGGAAAATCAATGCAGTTAAGAGCTAGCAAATTATGGGCTTTCTACACTGCACTCTGCCTTGTTTATGATCTGAGTGACAAAAACTGTGAATCAGAAACTTTTGCTCCAAAATCAACTCTTTTGCTCATCATGCTACCGTTAAAAACCACTTAATAATCCATTTTCTTGTGTTTGAGGACTTAGGGATAAATAATGTATTTAATCGAGGTATTGTCCGGTTTAGGAGATAGAGAATATTAGCAGAACGATCATGAAAAACAGTTACCCTGGACTTTTCATCCTGGAGCTCAACCAGGTTGGTCCTTAGAAAGAAATGGTGTCGAGAACACTAATAAAAGCTTTACACTGAGCTCCCACTGAAGGGTAACACCGACACAATGAGGACAGCCAAGCGCTTTATCATCTAAAGAAAAAAGGAACTCGTCGGTGTCGAATCACATTGTTTGCCAATTTGGGCGTGGATTCGGTAGGCAGAACCGACAGAGTTTTGAATCCCAAAGTGAAGAAACACATGCCCAACTGTGGGCAAGGTGCGATCAACCAACTCATGTCCAGAGCTCCGTGTTCACCTAACTCACTGGGGTCATCAATAGGCAATCATCATTTGGTTTCCCATCATGGAGCTAATCATATCGCGACGTTCCGGGTTCTTTCACGTTACCCTATTTTGCATTCCTTATGAATCGCCGGGGCCGTGGAGGTAACTTAGCTAAATCCTGCCCAGTGTGTGCAAAAGCAACTGATTGGTTGTCAAACTTCGGTTGCCGCAATCCTAGGGATATTGTCACCAGTCACCTCGTTGCATGTGGTTGGGTAGGTAACACCCGTTGGTTAGTAGATGAGTCATTTCCAATTAGTATATTGGTACTGCTAAGATGATACAAAGTGTGTGCTTCTACCAGCGTCGAACTTCTCATGGTGCTACTCACATTCAGACATTGCCCAGTACCTCAATTCCGCTCTTAGCTCAAGCAAAAGACGCCTGGTCACCGGCGACCTACGGGTTCTTTTCACACTCCTACCAAATATGGGGCAAACAAAGAAGCTCTAGTTAAATCCACCTGCTTACATGGATGGCTCACATCTGAATCCTAACTTTGTGGGATGTTACTCAGCTATTGGTCGCAAGTGATAACACGTTGGTGGCGTGCCAAATACGATAATACGGAGAACGGTAAGAGCGGCTGGACCCAACGTGTATTGGGAAAACCTATAAGTAATAGAGAGCATGTAAGGGGGAGCAGGGGGAAAAGTAGCACACGACTCACTGTAGAAGAGCAAGTAAACGGACTGCATATTCAGTAAAGTAGATGGGCGGTCAGAAGGAACAGAGTCCAGAAAAATCCAATGTCACAGCATACTAAGAGCGTAAATGATTCACCCTCGCTACGGGTTTTCTAAGCTGTTTTTCGTGGACTGAAACTAGTAGTGATCTTTGAGAACGTGTGAGTAACGATAACGATCTATTTCTCATCCACTTTTACTCAAAAACTTCAGTTAGCGGTCTTCCTACAATGAAAAGTCTACTGGCTTTACCTAGTATGAAGCCTGTATTTGTGCAAGTGAATGATTGAAACCGAATCAAAAAGGAGTTGGATTCACCAAAGATTACTTAGAACCGTTTTCCGTTGACTTGAGCAAACTCAGGGAATAAATTAGTATAATCTCTTACCAATAGCAACAGTGATAAGACCAAGTAAGGGTGTACGATGACTTAATCATTCAAACTGCAGTCTCAAAGCCCAGTAGCTTATCGACCACCTCCCACTATAAGTCTTCAATCTGTCATTGTTGCCAAAACCAGAAATTAGATGCCGGAATTATGATGCTTCCTATGACATTGTACTCCCACGCACTACCTGGCTAGGTTCATGAGGATCTGGTCAGATCAAGGACATTGTGCCGGTCTAAAGTCGCGCAGTACGGCGTTCGCGCTTTTCTTCACGGCTGTACTATATAGAGTTATTTCGCCTTGGTTTCACCCCAACACTTTGCTACTGAACGCTATGTGACCTGTTTGGGTTTTTCTCATTAAGTTATGGCTGTGAAGTGAAGAAGGTCTAGATCCGGGTTTACCGCTTCCAAAAGGATGAGTCTGCAGCCAGATAAAATGTCACGCTTCATCGTATGAGCTACTCATTGCGATTAAGCTCTTGGACTTTGCCACCTTTTTCTCTCAGCAGTGTTCAATAGAACTAGGCCCAGTCCGTCGGATACTGGCATCTGTGAAGGTACCAGACAGCCGTTTCGTCCCTTCGTGAATCAGCAACAACATTCAGTAACTCATTTCAATTTGTAGGTCGATCTTGACAGCTGGAACTCATATATCTATACCCTGGTGATGCGACAGCTTACATGACGAGGTAACTACTGACGATGCAACGCAGCTTATACCTCGCTGTCCTGTACGTTACCACCGATGAGAGGGTAGAGGAGTTGTGTGCTGTCATGGAGTCTGGAACTAGCAAAACTGTAATCCGGTTCGTTTTCGGATCTCATTGAATCTTTGACTGGGTCTAGCGGTGATGAATTTCAGTTGACCCCGTAACTATCATCCTGTCTCAATGCAAATTTTTGATCACTATATACCTTGAGCATGGTACACCTTTGAGTGAATAGTGTCATCTTGACAACAACTGACTTCTCCTGGCTCGCATGAACTACCTTCTACCTTGTGTCAAGTGCGCTCACTGATGTAGTAACCCTTACTGGGTGTATAATAGCTCCTTTTTGACCACGTTGGTGAGTAACATCCAGCCGGGTAGCTCGGGAATTTCCCGTTCCAGCAAATAGTTCGGGGACATTGTTCCCGAATGAGGTGGGTTTTCGCTTGGCAGTCCATCGCTCCATAAAAATTTAACAACACTGCAATGTAGCGGGTGTGACGTAGCATTGAATAAAATCACTGCTTCTTGGTTACCTTGGAGACAAAGTACCCTATGGAACAATGGAAGAAAAATAGCGGACGTTTAACAAGTCCGGTAGGATGAACAGAATGAGAACAACAACATGGGGAATAGAAAACAGTGGTGAAATGGAAATCGTCTTTTGTGGACTCAGCACATTGTTAACACAGAGGCAGGCAGAAACGGCCAACCTCAGCCGAGTAGGTTAATTCTGCTTGTGCAACTGTCGTCGCATTATATCGTCTGTTGAGACACACAGATTATATCTCGTAATGTAGGTAGGTTAGGGCAACGTCAATGCGTTTTGTAAACACAGGTAAATTAGGGGCGCAAACGAGATAATTTGGGAGGGCGTTCGATGTCTGGCACACACGAAGAGTCTAAAAGTTCCGTCGACATTCTAGCCGACTGTATTACGTGGCTAACTTGAACTGGTGCCTGTTGGAATTCCTGTTGTGACTCTGTTGTAGTAGATGGCGGCAGAAGTGGTTGGGGTTCCTTAGAATCTGGTAGGTCATAAGAAGGTCGCTATGTAGGTGCCGGTACCGACCGCTGTATGCTTTTAAGATCCTCATTCTAACTTGATAGCGAAGGTTGTGTAACCCTTTGACGGGCTTCGTGGCTCCTCGCTGTGGAGTCTCGACGGCTGCAAGGTCGTGTTTGTGCCAGAGCTACCAGATCTGGATTGCGTATTTCACATGAAACCGCAGGTAGGTGTAAAGCAACTGCGAACAGACAGATGGATCGAACCGCCCGAATGACTCCTGCTACATGCCAACATGTTGTTTTCAAGTCTTTGTCGCCTTCTCAGGTTGTTCTGAGCAGCCCAGGTCAACCTGGGCTAGTACCCCAAGGTCGCGCTCCTGGGTGACTGCTATCGGTGTAGGCGACAAAATCGCTTGGGAGCTCGAGTGACACCTAAAAGCTCCCGGGTCCAACCAAAAAAGGAAGCCGAGACGTTAACTACGGTACTATTCAAATAGGGATTAAAATACAATGGTTACACACCTCGAAAATGCCTGATCACTTCCGAAACAACCGGCCTTCAAAACGTCCGAAAGGAATCCATTGCTACTTGCCACAGTACATAGAGAGTCACACGATACCGAGTCCACGATCGGACTATAATCTTTCTGTTATTAGGTCCTTTAGCCCTTGACGCATTAGTTCGTTATACAGCGCATGTAAGGGAAAGCGATGGGCTGGGATTGTCTCAGTCAAACGGTGGGGGTGGGAGGAACCTGGTGGTGCGTACCCCTGGGGTGGGAGGATGATTCAAGTCTGAGGGGTGTGTGGAGGGTGGTCTGGACGGGTTGCACAGTGTGAGCGCACGGTTTCCACAGTGAGAGGTGAAGTGAATTCATGGCAAGCTCGATATGAGATCACATAGGGGATATTCGGTAAGCCGGCGCTCATCAATTGCGGCCGGCGTCTGCTTTGGTCAACCAGACTGAGACTTCGATTTGCGGCTTGCTAACTACATAATAACTATGTCGCTTGGCATGTAACCATGGGGCATAGGGTGAGTAAACAAATAGTTTTTGGGAATCCAGAGTTAGCTCGCGTCATCCATCTTGCGAATTGCGTGGTAAAGTTACCGCTTACAGGCAGGACTTGCATGTGATCTTCGGCTGGTGGAGAATGGGAACAACCTTACACTTTCCCGAATTGAACTGGAGCAGATTGTGGAGTGACCCCCCATACGCTCTGTCCAAGTCTCCCTGAAGTTCATCGTCATCTCATTGGTCGGCGATCGCCGGCCACATCTTAACATCATCAACGAGCAGCAAGAAATCTGTGTCAATCAGCCGCGCAACTTCGTTCATGAACA